CCCCTCCTTGTTGAGGGGTCAATGGCGCCGCTCCTGGGCTGGAGTCCATTGTACTTTGTTGTTCCCCGGTTCCCGAACGCAGCAGTGCAACGCCACAGAGGTTAAAGTTAGACTTCGCTTTCGACTGCGCCCCTGCAGAGGCGCTGACGAGCGGACAGCGTGCCCGCGTAGGTGTGCCTGCTCAGCTTTCCTCCTTGTTTTCAGGCCTCAAGGACTTATTCAAGAGAGACCGTGCGCCGCCTTTGCGGCTGGTTCTTCGCGACCGATATGGACTCCGAGTTGATGGCGTGAGGCGATAAGCGAACATAGCATCATCATCCAGCTCCGCCACATCACTCTCATCCTGTGGCTGCTCATGCGTTTCCTCCTCCTCTTCCTCCACTTCATCCAACTCCTCCTCCTCCTCCTCCTCCTCCTCTTCACCCCCCTTTTTCAATCCTCCCTTCTTCCATCCTCCTCCCTTCCATCCTTCCTCCTCCCTCCTCCTCCTCCTCCTCCTCCTCCTCCTGTTCCTCCTCCTCCTTTTCATCCTCTTTCTCTTCCTCATCCTCCTCCTCCTCCTCCTCCTCCTCCTCCCACGCCTACTCCAGAGTCCCCACTTCCCACCTCCCCCCCTCCCTCCCATCCTCCCTCATCCCCCCACTCCTCATCCATCCTCACCTCCTCCTCCAATCCCCATTCCCCTCCCTCCGCCCTCCCCCCATTCTCCCTTATCCCCCCTCCCACCTCCTCCATTCAAAGATGGTCCTCGATCCTCTACCCTCGATCCTCATCAATCCTCACCTCCTCCTCCTCTTCCTCCTCCTCCTCCTGCTCCTCCTCCTCCTGTTCCTCCTCCTGACGATCCATATGCCTTGAGCCGAGGCGACGAATGCGACGCAGGGGAGGAGGGCGCAGCGAGCGATTCGCCGTCGGCATGAGCGACTTGGTGTCGGCGGCGTAATACACCTGGATGCCTGCCCATCCGTCCATCAGCCCATCTCTATAGTTACCTCTCTCTCTCTCTCTCCTTTCCTCTCTCTCTCTCTCTCTCTCCTCCCTTCATCCCTCTGTCCCTTCCCTTCCTCCCTCCGTGGATATGTATACTATATATAAATACATGTGTATATGTGTCTCTCTCTCTCTCTCGTCCCCTCTCCTTTTCTCACTATATCGCAGTATATATGTATGTGTCCCTAGTTCTCGTTTTTTCTCTCTCTCTCTCTCTCTCTCTCTCTCTCTCTCTTTTATATATATATATATATATATATATATATATATATATATGCGTGTGTGTATGTATCACTCTCGTTTTCTCTCTCTCTCTCTCTGTGTAAATGTATATGTTTACCGTTCCTGCTAAATGTACATGGATGTGTGCTTGTGTGTTATGTATGTGTGTGTCTCTCTCTTTCTCTTATTATCCCTCTCTTGTTCTATCTCACTTGGGAGGCCACTCACCGATGTCCTCGTTAAGAAACCCCCCAAATCTGCGGACAAGAGACCCTGAACCAGACGCGAAAAGTTAGAGGGAGCGCCCTCAGCGCCCGTGCCCAAAAACACCCGCGTGAGGGAAAACGACAGGGAGGAGGAGGAGGAGGAGGAGGAGGAGGAGGAGGAGGAGGAGGAGGAGGAGGAGAAGGAGGAGGAGAAGGAGGAGGAGGAGGAGGAGGCGGAAGAAGAGGAGGACGGGCTGGAGACGAGAAATCCAAGGATCAGGCACGACAGCAAAGACGCTGTCCCGAGCTCGGCGCTCAGCCCAGTCCGCGGCAGGATAAGCCGGCACGCCGCCGGAGGGAGGGAAGGAGGGAAGAGGGGAGGGAAGGGAAAGGAGGGCGGGGGGGGGCGAAGGGAAGGAGAGAGGGACGGAAGAGACGGGAGGGGGGGGGGGGGGGAACAGACGGCGACAACAACACCGGGTGCACCGAGCACTCGCGCGCGGCCCCCGGGCCCGGAAGAGGAAGGGAGCGCGGCAAACGGGCAGGCAAGCGAGCAGAGGGCGGGGCGGAACGGGGGGCGCGGCGCGCGCGGGACGGGCGAGGGGGGGGACGGGGGGCGTCCAGTCGCCTGCACCCTCACCAGGCCAGCACGCCCTGCAGCGGGCGGCCGCCCGCCGTCAGAGGGCTTCGCTGGCCGCGCTGGCCAGGCGGCGGCACCGCCGCGCTTCGTCCGAGCATCCGCTCCGCGGGAAACGGCGGGTCGCGAGTGCGCGGGGGAGGGACGTCGCCCGGGGATGGGGTCGGCCGCAGGCTGACCAGACCAGGGCCTGACGGTCCAGAACGTCACTGTAAGGGGCGTAACAGGCGATCTCGCTCTCGTACATGCTGGACACGCAGTCCAGGCCAGCGGTGCACGCGTCTGACAGGCAATCCCGATGTCGAGCGCGGTATATAAGCCAATGCCTCAACGCCCCCATGAACACTTCCGCGGGCCTCATCCTCCTCCTCAGCCGTTCTCGCCCAGGTCTTCCTGGGCGTGTCACGACTTTTCTTCAGAGCGGCAGCAGTCGTGGCGGGCCATGTGTGGCTTTTTCTTCCAACTTTGAACACATTTCGCGGGATCTCAACGCACAGCTCACGGCTCCTACGGGGGCAGCCAGATAAATGATGTTGTCAAGGGCCCCATGCTCCCCACGTGGGGCTGTCAGGCCTGCGGCGCGCCGAGCAATCGGGCGCGCCGAATTCGCTGCCAGCGTGGACAGGGCGCGCCCGCCAACGTCATCGAGAGGGCGAAGAGCTTCGCCAACCCAGGGGCTGCTGACGGCGGTTATCTGGGTGCCGGCGGTGGCGTCAAGCCCATGGGAAGTCGGAAGAGGGATAAGCTCGAGCAGCAGCCGGGGGAACTCAAGCAGCAGCTCGCGCAGGTCATCAAGAAGTCTTCGACCAACCGGGCGCGAGCAAACGGCGCCAGGTGGCACCACACCGGGGAGCGGCTCGACGGCCGCGGGCGCAGGCGCGGGCGGCGCGGGCACCCCAGCGGCGGCGGGCGCTACCGCGGCAGCCACGCCAGAGACCGAGGAAGCCTCGGCGACCCAGGCCGCCGTCCTGGAGCATGGAGCAAGCGATCAAGATGTGCGAGGGCGACCTCATGGCCACTGCCCGCGGCCAGCTGGAGACGCAACTTCGCGAAGTTCGTCAGAGGCTTGAGGCGCGGAAGATCGACGTCACCCAAAGCGCGAACCCCGGGCACCGCTCGGGCAGGAAGCAGCTCCAGCACCACTACGGTACCATTGTTGGCGGGCTTCACACTGCCCGAGCTGAGGATCACGCGGGAGGCCGAGCCGCAGGAAGGACTGCAAGGATGAACGTGGGGAAGGACCCGAGGGCCTTTGAGTAAATAGAATGCTGCTCTCCCTCCACACTATAAGGTGGAAATCGACAAGCCTGCTGGACTCTGTGGGTGACAGAATGATCGAGCAGCGCCTGCTGTATAACTCCCCTGCGATGATGAGTCACGTGTCCAACGACATCACAAGAGAGCCCTGGCGACAAAACTGAGGCGGGGGATGGGGCCCGCGCGCGCATCGACCCCATTAGGCGCATCACCAAGCCCAAGTTGAAAGGCATTGGCCTTACGGCCCAGGGTAAATACTTGGTCAAATCGGACTTTTCTGGGGGGATTTGAACCGAGGACCGCGCCGATAAACAAGGATATTTGTCCAGCGGCTTGTGCCCTAAGTGTTTTCAGCCTGATCACGTTCGCCATAGGATCTTTTATTGCAATGGCCCATAGGAGCGCGCTGCCCGTGAAGGGGCAGACGCGTGTAACAGGTTCCTTCCAGGGGCGAAGGAGGGCGACGAGAAGTTCTACACCGGCTTAAAGAGGGAGCACCCTCTCGCGTCGTGGCCCGAGCTGTCGGACCAGCACGCGCCGAGGTCATATGATCAGGGCGGGAAACCACTAGATTGGGCCTCGTTCGACACCGCAGGCCTGCGAGTTTCCGGAGATGGATCTTGAGCGCCGCATCAGATTATGGAGCTCTCCAGAGCAGCTTCTTCGTGGAAATTCATGACCAGGGGGGGAAAGGGTAGCTATAGGTCGGGCAGGTCCCCCTACAGGCGGATTTTGGACGAAAAATTAAAGATAGTCAAACAATACTCCCAAAAATGATCCCAAAAAACACTCAAAAAATCACCCCCTGACGATTTGTTGACCATTTTTGGATATTCCCCCTGTAGAGGGACAGGCCCGACTTCAGGGTAGCTTCAGCGCGTTGCAATGCATGGCCGAGTTTGCCAGACGGGCCAGGCGGCCACGCAGCTGCAGTTCGCAATCCTTCCAGTCGTCGTCCCAGTATAATTGGTGAAGCATGCTGTAGCGATTGCATGAACCCACATCAGGCTCAACTGTCCCGTCGTCAGAGGTACGCGGGCTCAGGAGGGGGGCTCTGCAGCATGTGGTCAGACATCGATACGCCCCAGTTGTATGGACTCTCGCTCACCAGAGCTTTAGCCCTCATGGATACGTTGCCTCAGCCTGATCGCTCCATCGGCAGGGCCAACTGGCATGCCGACGTGGAAGCTCATCAGGCCATCCTCATGCACCCGAGGGCTTCCCAGAATAGGGGAACAAAAAGTGGCATAAACATAAAAACTCGGAGGTCCGCGCGGATTCCTTGGATCCGCGCTAGACCCCCCTCCCTGGCGCGCGGAGCGCGCCACGGGCCGCGTCCCTGGCGCCGCCAGGGGGGTCCAGCGCGGATCCGAGAAATCCGCGCGGACCTCCGAGTTCCTATGTTTATGTCATTTTCTGTTCCCCTACCGAGGGCTTCCCAGAAGGAGTGGGCTGCGGCCCAGGGAGTTCGAATTGGGAGGCTCGAAACGCGGCGGCACGATATGCATCGCGGCGGTGTTGCCGTGCTCACCCCGGGGACCACCACGGGCGCCCCACCCACGCAGGGCCCGTCCGAAGAAAGTATTTCCACGCGCCGAAGGCTGGCGCGCGTGGGAAAGATGGCCGTCGTGGCATCGGTGCGATGGAGATAGATAGGGAACGAAAAATGGCATAAACATAAAAACTCGGAGGTCCGCGCAGATTTCTTGGATCCGCGCTGGAGCCCCCCGGCGGCGCCTCCGGCGCCGCCCCTGGCGCGCTCCGCGCGGCAGGGAGGGGGGTCCAGCGCGGACTCGAGAAATCCGCGCGGACCTCCGAGTTTTTAGGTTTATGCCACTTTTTGTTCTCCTAATAGAAACGCCAGACCCGAGGTAGGCTGCGAAGGTTTCCCGCAGATGACAGCTGGTCTGCTGACGCAGTCTCCCGAGCACGGTCATGTGCTGGCCAGTACGGAAGTCGAGGATACTCATAAACCGTTGCTTTGTTTCTGTCTGTCCTGCGGAGAGCATGCGCAAGACAGGTTGCACACGTGGCCGTGTCGCCACGCTCGCCCGAAGACGGACTGCGAGCGCAGCCAGTGCAGGGAATGCCGCCCTCGGGAGGTTGAGGCGAGGCTTGCACCACAAACCCGATCTACCTTCTTCTTTTTTGCCACGAGTCGGGTGTTGCTAGAGGTGCCCCTGGCCCAAGGTGCCCCTAGAATTCTCGGTGTGGCCCAGACGGCTTCCTGAGCAACCCCGACGAGGCCCAGGGGGCCCCAGGGGCTCCAATATGTTGCGGAAAGCTGGGGGCACCTTCGGCCAGGGGCACTTCTAGCGACACCCGAACGAGCAGCGGGTGCAAGCGGTGCCGGGGCGCCAGGAGCGAGTACGCGTCGCCATCAACGGCGGCGGCCAGCAGCGGCAGGTCTCCAACCCATCGAGGCCGCGGCAGACGCCCGCTTGCGCACGGCCGCGGAGAGGCCGCGGGGCCCTCCGAGCCAGGACAGCGGCGAAGGAGGAGCAGGCACGGACGGGACCGACGTAACAAACATCGCTTAGGCTTCGGCCAAACAAAAATCTCCTCCTCCTCCTCCTCCCCCCTCCTCATCCAGTGTGTTTTCCTCCTTCGTCCTCCTCTCTGCCCCCCTCCCTGATCCTCATCCTCATCCTGCTCCTCCTCCTCACGCCTCCTCCTCCTCCAAAGAGAGGGAGGTGGGCTGGTCGGCTGGCTGATTGTCTGGCTGCGCTGGGGCGGAGGGAAGGAGGGGAGGGTGGAAAAGCAATGTCGGGAGCGCAGGTAGGAGGAGGGGGGGGAAAGGAGGGGAGGAAGGCGGGGGAGTTGGGACGGGGAGAGAGGGGGGGATCCTGAAACGGGGAGACGGAGAAGAGGATAGTTTGGAGGGGGGACTGTTGTGCTCCAGTCTCCAGCCACACCAAGGGCCAGGGATCGGCAGAAACTGTGATTGCACTGTCGTCCACGACAAATCGCACGTTCTCTTCCACGTGCAGCTCCCACTTGCATTACGACCACGATTAGCATTGGATATGTCGTCCAGTGTTGCTTGTCATGTTGGTTCACGTTCGCATTGCATGCTTCATGGGCCAGAATCAACCCATGACTGTTACTCCGAATTCGCATCGTGTTCACACTACGTTTGCATCACGCTGCTATCCAGAACAATTCAACAGTGTATCACCTGTTGTCCTGCACCATGACAATTCCAAGTCAACAAAGTATTGCATACGTTGTGTAAATGCGTTCCCTCACACACGCACGTGTAAGATAGTCGCGCAGGAACCGCTTCACATTGCAAACATCTGTACGTCATAACTGTTGTAATGCGCTTGACTATGGCCTCGTATGGGTGCCACGCATGCTTTGAGCTTGAACCGTGTACGTCAGGGATGTGCGCATCGACACCATCACACAATTGTACTTGCCGCATCTGTTCCACCGTGAACAGCGTGCGTGTCGAATGATGTCGCGCTTCATACTTACGTACGTCACGCTTACTTCACCCTGGTCCGCGTTCCATGCGCGCTCCACATGTGTTAGAGAACGCGCTCCATATCTGCACTAGTTTCGCTTCACGTGTGTTGGGAACATCGCTCACACTTGTTCCACCTGCACATACACATTCAGCACGCATCTGCATTAAATTCGTTCCACACGTGGTCCACATTTAGCTCACGCGCGCAGCGTGTACGTCACAATGACTACTGTGTGAGTCGCACGCGTTCTGTATCTGCTCACGAGTGTGTACGATGATACTCACGCGAGCTTGTTTCTACGTTTCTACGTTTGGAGCACCTGTGACTCACATGTGTGACACCCCTCTCTTCCCTTGGCTGGGCATTCCTCGCATATACGTTTCAAATGTCAGGCTACCCATGTGCACCACCTGTGCGGCACCGCAAGGCTCTCGCACCCCACGCTCTCTTATATCCACGTCCCAATGCATCTACACATGTGGGGATCCTTCAGGGCCTGACCGTGTACCGGCGACCCACCCCCCCTGACCCCCCGCACCCATGCTCCCAGACATCGCGGCGACCGACCTCTGCTGATGACGTAGCGGTGTGCGCCCAGACAAAAAGCTGGTCGCGACCAGGACGGGAACTCTCCTTGAGCCAGGCAGCCGCGGGGAGCGCTGGCAGAGGCCACGCAGCACAGGGCGCAATGTTCTTCGCTGTCCTCAAAGATACC